CACTCTGGGGAGATTCCTGTGGAATTGGCATAGAGCAGAGAAGTAGCTAGTTTATCTCTGCTTATGGGGCTGGTCTCTCAGAGCTGAAAGAGGAACATAATTGGGCTAATCTGGCACCGACTCTCAGTTCTGGCTTTACCCTACTGCAATTCACTTGACTTCTAGTAAAGTATACCTTTCTCAACAAATGGAGTTAAGGGTGGTTTTTACTTAGAAGCCCAATGTCAAGTCTGCCAGGTTGGCTTGGCACCTCACTGGCATCCTGCCCTCAAAGGCTGGTGTGGGAGGACGGATGGGCAATAAATAAGGCTGTGTGTACCTGATGGCAAATAGGGAGGGGGGACTGACAGGCAGTAAGGACCAGAGCAGCCAGGTCCTGTTTGTGCCAGCATCCCAAGGCCAGGCGTCCCGAGAAAATCTGTGGATTACCCCAAAACAGCCTTCTCAAACACTAATTGATGAGCTTCTTGGATGAGAAGCAAAGCATTTTCTTCTTCTTCCTCAAGGAAAAAAAACACCTTTGAGACAACCGAGGGAGAAGAAAATCAAATGGAGAGTGATGTCCTTCAATATTAAAGGTCTGCCCTATAGTTTTTGAAGGACTATATCTAATGCAAGGTTGTATTTTCTTCAAGGTATCCTCCATGGAGACTTCAATAGTTTGGACATTAATAGCTAAGAGTTCCCTACTGAGTGATTGATAGCTCTAGGAGTAATTAATATTTGAATTGACAATCAGTAGCATGGTGGACAGACTCAATTCTCTTGCACGAGCTGGAGTGAAGGACGAGAACCCAACCCTGTTGTATCATCTGCGAACTTCACAATATGGGTGGTGGCAAACCTATCACAACATTCATGGGTCAACAGGGTGAACAGCAGCGTACTTGGGACACAGCCCTGAGGAGAACCTGTGCTCAAGAAAATGGTATTAGAGGTATTTGTTCCAACTTGCACATATTGCAGCCTGTTGGTAAGAAAATCAAGAATCCAGTTACACAAGGAGCGTTTAAGCCTAAAAGGCCCAGTTTGTCTACTAGATGCTGGGGAATGATTGTGTTAAATGCCGAATTGAAACTCTGTGGTTGAAATTGTACCTTTTTGTAACAGCCTCATTTCATTCGTGACACTTTTCCCCATATCAGCGTTCTCCTTTTAATGCAATGCACATTTCAATGGTTATGTTTAATATTATGGGATGTTACTATCCATGTCTCTGGCTTAACTGAGTAGGATGATTTCTTTCATCCAATCAAGTCTTGTTTTGTACTTTTTCTACTATAAGGCGTATAAAATGAAACCCGATTCTGTCTCCTGGATTCCCTCTTTTCATTGAGGGAAATCTCTTTGCTATAATAGTCTAATAAATAAATGATCATCCCACTTGGTGCCTAGTTGTAGTAAGTGTGACTTGGCTGAATCTAGGGGTAATTTAGCCTCTTTTTTGTGGCTGTCCATCTCATTCATATAATCTAAATGGCTTTTCAAAACGTCAGCACCATGTAAGGCCATTTCCAGATATATGAAGTAAGGGAGGCTGGACAAGGACGACAGGCAAAGCCCTGGAAATCCAGCCCTTCTCAACACTGCCACACTTAGCACGTGTGAATGTGGGTGTTAGATCCCAAGGAGGGAATTGTGTTGTGTGAATGGAAACAAGATGTTTTCTGAACTATAAACTCCAAACTTTCTTGCCAATCAGCCTC